TCTTTCGTTCTCCACCTCCTCCAGCAACTCCCCTTGTAACCTTCGTTTACAACAGTAAAACATTGGGTAGCAGAGTTTAAACAAGGCCGTACGAGCTGCCAAGACGAGTATCGCAGTGGTTGACCAAATGAGGTGACGACTCCAGAAACGGTGAGAAAAATCCACAAAACGGAACTGAATGATCCTCTACTGAGAGTGCGCAAGGTAGTAGACTCAATAGGCATTTCAAAAAGTGCGGTACATCATATATTATCTGAAAATTTGAACACGACACAAAAGAACAATCAAAACAGTGGACTCAAAGGTTTGTGCGGAGAAATCAAGTAAAAACTGCCGCTGGAAAAAGTGTATAGAGCTGCAAGGAAATTTTGTTTTATTTTTTGTTGGGCCGGGTACTTCTAGGACCACCCTCGAAAACTTTGGTCGAACCAACAGAATATTTTGAATGTTCCTTTCAGGTCTAGCCACGATTCTGCTTCGTGGTAGATGACAGTATCATCAGCAAAAGACATGATTGGTACAAGAACGGTTCTCTGCGCCTCAACATGAATAAATTTCTTAGAATCACTGAATGGTCCATTAGTTTTTACATATTGTACACGATTACGTCATAGTCGTGGTTAAACTCATGTCTCTCTACCAAAAGATACTTTGCATGTGTGAAATTGGTCTTTAAACTCATAGAACTACCTTTATGTGTTTCTCTGTATCTGTATAGTAGGGAGGGTCAGTGTAAGCCCACAGCACTTAGGCCACATTTGACCTATTGTACATCGTCCTGAGGAGTTGTCCTCCTAGGTCATCGTCCATCCTGTCTTTTCCAGGAATGTGGACAAGTGGACATCTCCTTGTAGGCCTTGTAGGCCAAGACTCGCCGAACACACACTCTCTTATTGACGATAACTCCGGGCACTCGCATAGGACATGCCTCACAGTCTCATCTTCCTGTTCACACATCCTGCATAGAGGTGTGTCCACTAGCCCCATAGTATGGAGGCCGTAGGTGACACTGGGTCCTAAAATTCTTAGTCCAGCTACTTCTTGGCTAAAGAGTCGGCAATGCGATTATCTTTACTCCTGTCGTGCCCTTCAACCCACCTCGGGGTTATCATCTACCGAAGCTTTGGCTAAATCTTGGTGGCACTATAGTACTAGTCCTGAGAAAAAAAGTTGTCTGTTCAAGGCTAATATGGCTTGTCTGCTGTCAGTACAGATTGTTATGTTTTTTCCAGAAATTCCTTTTCTGGTTATTTCTTTTGTGACGATTGAGATACCAGCCAGGTTCTGTTTGATCCACGCTGGTATTTTTTCCCATTCCCCACTTAATCCTTAGGCTTACTAATCTGGAGTACACCCAACATCCCAAGCCTTCTTTGGTTTTTGAGCCGTATTGCATTTGTATCATCTGACTCTGTGTTCTCTTTTATTTGTATTTTGTAGGGTTTATCAAATACAAACCTGGGTTCAATTGCATCACTGGTTGTCTGCAGCAGAGGTTGCGCAGTAAGCGCTTCCCGCCATAGGCCCAGCCTCAATCGACCCATTCCTACTTCTAGGTTAACACCAACCGTGTGCAATCGTAACATGGTCATTAACGCAACCTCTTTAACGTTCAGGTCCAGAGGGATCAGACCCAAACTATCTTTATATTCTCTAGGAAAATAACGTATTCAAAAAACACTTCATTGTTGAATTTTAACTTTTTCAGTTTCACAAAAACGCAACACGTGTTTCGCCATAGAATGGCTTCTTCAGGCGTGTCAGTAAATACATGCTCGAAGAAGCCTTTGTATGGCACAATAAAGCGTTCTTTGAATACGTTACTTATGGATTTTCATCAAGTATTGGCCAATTCCATCATATATCTCTGGATAAATGTTCTCTCCATCTGGCCAAGAACCACGAAACAACTCATATACTCTTGAAGTAGAAATTAATAAAGACAGCAGATGCATTTGACGAAGAAGACATACAAAAATCGTTAACAAAAAAGATGACTTTTTATTATAATCGACTGAGAATTACTGTATATAGCCTCATGGGAAAGTCACCGCGCCTATGCCCGTTGACAGTTGTTGAAACAAAAACAAACACAAGAAGACAAATGACCGGACGTGTGACACAATTCAAAGATGGCTAAAGTGAAATTGTATTGACATCGGTGGCCATAAAGAAACGCGTGCTGCCATTTTCCAATTACAATGTGTGGTGTCTGAGGTTAATCCATCATTCAGTTGATGGGTACAGAAATACCACTGAGAATGTAGCATAAGTAATAATGAGCAGGACAGACATGTGCCTCAAAAAATATAGAGTACTAGCTATTACCCGCGGCTTCGCCTGCGTAGGATTTGGTTTCGTGACAGACTATTTCATAAATAGCTGCAATATTTTTTTATTAAAAACTATTAAAAATATTTTTTCAATAAAAAGTATTCTATGTTGCTTCTAATACCTCCAAGAACATTTTTACGAAATTTCATGATGATCGGTTGAGTAGTTTTCGCGTGAAACCGTAACAAATAAACTTACATTCTCATTTATAATATTAGTATTAGTATTTTCAATGTATATAAACACTTCATTTTAATGAAGCAGATTAATTACTGCAAGATCAGGCAGGCTTTATAATAGTTTCCTAATCTTCAAATAATCTGAAACTGATAAACATATGTAAGATGCACCTTATTGTTTTGTTTGTTTCAATGTCATGTCTATTAGCCTTGAACAGACAACGTGTTACCTCAAGGCTAGTACTAGAGTGCCACCAAGTCTCATTATCTCATTATCCTGAAGTGGGTTAAAAGGTACGACAGGAGTGAAGGTAATCGCATTGCCGACTCTTTTGCCAAGGAAGCGGCAGGACTAAGAATTTTAGGACCCAGTGGCACCTCTGGCCTGATGACTTCGACAATTGCGGAACTAGCCAAATGTCACACCCATGCTCTATCCCTAAAGAGAAAAGGGATGAAATCAAAGGAAGCAATCTTTCCAAGATCACCCTGGGCGACCCTCCGAAGCTGGCGCCGAAAAAATATCTGGCGATGACCAGGAAAAATATACGCTTTACAGTGGGATTTTTGACTGGCCTCTGGCAACTAAGGAAACACCTCCACAATATGGACACACCTCTATGCAGGATGTGTGAACAGGAAGATGAAACTCTCAGTCATGTCCTATGTGAATGTTTGGAGTTATGGTCAATAAGAAATGTGTGCTCGGTGAGTATTGGCCTACACCTGCCGATATAAAGGAGATGCCTCCCAGCGACCTGTCCACCTTCCTGAAACGGACAGGATTGACGATGATCTAGGAGGACAACTCCTTGGAAGGACGTATAATGGGTCACATGAGGTCTAAGTGCTGTGGGCCTACATTCACGCTCCCTACTCTACAGATACAGAATGTCATGTCTTTTGTAGTTGCGTAAATGATGTCGTTGAGCAATTGTTGGTCAATTTTTCTCCACGAATTCGAATTGAATCGAATCTCTGTCGAAACAGACTTCAAAACGCAACCAGAAATTTGACAATTACAGTTCTAATGAAGGCACTGTTCGACGTTAATTTGCGAAGTTTCGTCCCGGAGATTTTAGCCTGGGAGATAAGCCTCGTTGACCTGGTTGACCTACAGTTTTCCAGGACGAAAATTTGAGAACCCCGGTGGAGACTGACCCATCACAAACGTTCATCCCTAAATTTCCACTTCAGCAATCTGCCCTAGCCATTTTTCCACCAGCAGTTATCTCCTCGCTCCTCCTTCCCTTCGACATTCAAATAATTGATGATTTCATCGAATGTCCTCTCAATATCCATGAAAGCAACAAAGAACAGTACTTTTATCCGACAAATCTGAAAAATAGCTTGAGACTGATTGTTTTGAAGCTTTCACCGAACCCGATCCGACTAATTAGTGTCCAAGTTCAGTTGTTCAGTAATTCAAATCATATTCGGTCAAAATGAATCTGCCCTGTAGACTCCCCAGTTCATTTCCTAGGAGTTTTGATACGAGATGATGAAAGTCTTTCTTTGTAAGCGAGCTATGAAGCGAAAGAGTGGTGACCATAATATCTGCAATTTGAATACCAGAGTCCGAATTCAACGCATTCATGATCCATCACCCGACAGCGCTGTCTTTGAACGATAAGCCTAAGAGAGGGCGTTTGCATCACTCCTTACAAAGACGCCATCTATAGTATCAACAGCGAACTTAATCCTCGAATATCGAAAATAAACGACGCTCTATAAGGCAGTTATAACCTTTTAGTGCCTCTACTGGAAGTGCTGGGCTTTTTTGAAAGACTGTATCCTGTAGTTTATCAGATGAGAAATCGGTATGCATTCGCTAATGCAGACTTTTTAGTGAAATTTCAAATTCCTGAGGATCCAACGCAATCTATGAAGAGAAGTAAAAATCTTTGGGAAAGAAAGTTTTTGGCTTTCTACTACTCCATTTTGATACAAAAATAAAATATGTGGGAATCTTCCAAAGAAAAGAAGGCAGTAATCAATTTGAAAATGAGTAACTCTATACTTGGATGTGTAGATCATGCAAAGAAGTAACTGTAAGAAAATCCTCCTTAAACAAATACTTTTATATGAACACTGAATTATACAGAAGATACTTTTCTCTACTCAGTTTGTATTTCAAACATTCGTTATGGAATAAAATCAGATATCATTCTCAGGAGTTCTGCTTTGAATGAATGGTAACAAATTGCATTTACTTATTTTCAAATTGATTACTTCCTTCATTTCTTTGGAAGATTCTCACATCTTTTACTTTTGTATCAAGATGAGGTCGTAGAAAGCCAAAAACTTTCTTTCCCAAAAATTAATCACTGCTAAAAATATAACCCCTTCAATTCAAATTAAAATCAGTCAAACAAATTATGAGTAGATAGAAATCACCTTATAACCTAATCATTTAAATTTGTTAGCCAACGGAATATGTTATTCTTTTATCTACACAGCATTAGATTTTTTAAATAAAAAGTTGGATCAAATCGAAAGTCCATTTTATTGAAAATAAATAACTTTTACAAAACTGTATTTTGAAAGATAATTCAACACTTATTTCAATAAGTCGTTCATTTCTTCAAAGTAAATTTAAATATCTTCACAGGAGTATCTATTGGCCAGAAAAATGTTTGTTGAGGAGGAACTTCAGTTTTGGTGGCAACAAATGATGCTGAAACTGAAAAAAAAGTATAGTTTTGAATCTCAAAAACATTTTCCATTTGACATTGTAGAAAATATAACAATAAAGAAAACAAACACGAAGTTTGACACGTTAAACGTTAACATTCACGTTAAACTAAAACTTTCCAACTGGTGTTTGTCAACAGAGGAGTGACTTCTTTTGTTGGAGTACTTACCCATTTTTCTCAGGAATGTATCGAGTGTACTAGGATTTCTTTCAGTGCAAGAAAAAATAAACTCTTCCACTCCGGAAAAAACCGCCAGATTCTTCACAGCCTTTATTAGAGGCTCGAACAATTCATCATCATAAACGATATCTGCAGCTATAACAGTTTCTACTGTACCAAGTTTTTTGCATTCCCCTTCATCAATTTCCTCCCAAGGAAGATTCAGTACATGAGTTGTAGCTTCGGAATTATGATATAGACATCTACAAATATAGTCAAAGTGAAAATGGGCTCTACAAGGCTATAAAACTAGCACTACTTAGATAACAACTGCACTTCCTTTTACCTGTGATTCATTCGAGAACAATTTTCTAATATTTCTGACGTATCCTTCAGTACTTCATCTACTGAATATTGCTTGAGGTTTCTCTCTACATTGTAACGCAGGATTTTCAGAACAGTTTCGTGACAGTCTGTTAGAAAGACACATTTTGCTGAACATTCTCTAGCAAGAACCAGTCCAGTTAGTCCAATTCCTGATCCTAGCTCAAGAACTGTTTTGTGGGTTAACAAACTTTTGTTTTGTAGTAGCCATTCTGAAAGAGCCAGAGATGCCTGAAAAAAATATAATATTCGAATGTGAAGTAAATTGACAAATTTTTTCACAATATCCTGTCTGTCTCTCAAAAAATTCCTCAACGGATTTTCATACGAATAAATAAAACTTGTCACTTTGATGTTCGTAGAATCTTTCCCTTAAGTCACTGATATTGTGTCGTGTTCGATTTAATGTTATTGTGTGAAAGCTATTCTCCGGTTTTTTGGCCGTGTTCTTCAGATTTTTATGGCTGACGTTGCGTCAACTACCGCGGTAGACATCAAGGCGATATGGTATTATTATATCTGAATTCTTTCGACCCAAGAATTCAATTCACAATGGAACGAAAAACCCAAGGGACTTTAGCCTTCTTGAACGTTGTTGTGAAGGGACGTGAGAATGTTACATTGAGCCACAGAAGTTATAGGAAAAACAACAAATTCAGGTAAAGAGAGAAGAGCATGACATATTTGTGAACCTGGGAGCCTTCCCGAGGAACTCAAGCAATCACCTGAAAAATAATTTCGAAAGGAATGGATACACCGAAGGAGAATTCGAGCAGGCAATATGACCCAGTAGAGAAAACGAAGATGTTACAGACCGAATTGGGAGACTTTTAGAGAAACACGACGTGAAATCAATATTTAGGCCAACAAAAACTATCAGACAAAGTCTAACGTCAGTTGAGGACCCCAGAGAACATTCAGAGAACCAATTCGTTGGCCTTCTCGTTCTTCGGACATCACACCCATGTACTTTTATTCCTGGGGATTTTTGAAAAAGCTATATGTATAAAAATCGATAGTATCGATGATCTATCTCCATACAGCGAAAACGAATACCATACCATCGATGGTCGTACCGATTAATAAGCTACAAAAAATTATTTTAAGTGTGAAAAATAGATACCCCGTCTTTTCTTTCAGTTACGCTAATGATTCGAACACATTATTATTTCTATGAATGTAACCGATACACCTAATATAAACAGTAGTTGATATCTTTTACCTGCCAAGTCCTCAAACCAGTCGTTCCATCAGATATTAGATTACTGCTCTCCTGTAAGCTTATGACCTTGTCGTCAGTTCCGAGTAAATAGTGCTTGAAACATTGAGAACTTGATCCCAGCGCCACCAGCCGACCGTAGGCGGTATATAACTCATCGCAAATTACAGTTTCCTGTAGCGCGCCACTCTGAAGTTTTTCCAAGTTTTGTATTAAATGTTTCAGGTATAACTTCTGATAGTTTATTTCCAACGGGCACTCAAGAACTAGAGGAGAGTTCACAGTTTTTGTCAACAGAGTTTTTTGCAGATCTTCACTGCGTATGAGATCATTGAAAATATCCTGAAAACCGAGCTTAGTGATATAATTTTAGGTTAGACTGTTACTTACATGCCAATTAAAACTCCTGAGCGGCACACTACACATAAATTGTTTGGTGACACTGTTAATGTTTTCAGAATGACTGGATGCCATCTCAATAAAAAAACAAAAGTTTTCATGAAGTCGTTTCACATGTTTTTATAAGGTTAAGAATGCTCGTATACAAAGCTCTGACATTTCATATGACTAGGTCTGAAACTTTCACTATTCTATACTAGATGGCGAGGCGTATGTCAATCGAATCAATTTCCCATTGCCAACATTGCTATCTACAGATGTTTCTGTATTCCTAATCGTAATGAAATCTGGTTACTACGTAATCAAACAGCGAGAAACTTATTTGGTGGGTAATTCTCATTACTGCCGATTGAAACTCGTTTCGTTCTGTTTGGATTAATTTCAATGATGGATGAGTGATATGGTCTAATTAAATTTTGAAAGGAACTGAGTGGATCCGGGAAAAATGATATAATGATTTTCAGGAATTGTTCAAGCGAGGGATCGTGCAAACAACAGAAATTGTTCTAGTGAAGCATCAAAAAGTGTCTTTTACAAACCTGCAGATGAATTGCTCAAACTGTCACCCACATTTCATTGAAAAAATATAAAATACCCAATTAAAAGATGGGTTGAAAAATTCGTAGGCTGAAACACAGATGGCGCCAAAGTTCACATGGACCCAGGCAGCGGTGTGGTGTTCAAAGTGTAACGTTTTCGTTTTCACTCACTGCGTATATTTTTGTTTTAAGGTGATCAATGTTTCACCCTGTATATTGCTCTAGTTTTGGAACTGCAAAACATAGTAATGTATTCACCAACTAGTTTTCCTAAACCATCCAATATGATAAAAAACGTATCAACCTACGTCCCATGTACACATGTACAGTGTCCACGCCCAAGTAAATAGTCATAAATGTTGTATATAGTTATTGGAATAATCTTGAACTGACTCGTTCAACGTTTATTTTGAAAGCCGTATATTGGTAAATTGTCAAGGAGCACCTATACACTCGCAAATGATATTCTGTGTTGAAAAACTTACCTTTTCGCATTCCATCTCTATTTTCTTCTAATAAACTGTTAGACTTCGTTTAGTTCCGATAGTCTCTAGTGTATGAACTCTATGGAGATCCCACAAATTTGTCAAAATTATTTCTTATTTCCGATTACGACAAGCAGTCTACAAAGTTAATTCATATAGGGAGTACCGATCCCTCTTAATAAGAAGCGAATCAAGTCATGTGATGTATAATGGCAGTCCCCTTTTGTGTTGGATATTAAAAATATTGTCTTTGGGAGAATCTACTTGTCGATTCATTTCCAGAAGGGAATCCTCCTGGTTCCAGAGGTGAGTCCACTACTCCATCGTGTTTTTATTATTCCAAGAACGTACTCGAATATTCTTATAGGGTTCTTCTTTCCTACGGAAAATTTTCTCAACCTAATCCTGCATCCCGAAGGATTTGGGAACGTTAACTAGGGCCACAGGGCCTATTCCCTGATTCGGCTCCATTTATCCATTTAGATGTCCTCTTTGACTCAAACAGAGAGGTATTTCTTACTATAGTCCGGATTTACCAATTCCTAGCGAGTGACAAGACACAACTCCTCCTTTCTTACTGCTTGAGGACCTCATCTGCGGTTGTTACTTCTTTAGAATCAACGTTGGATGAAAGGCCAGTTATAGATGATACAGTCCTTTCAGTATTATAGTTTTGATTTAATATTTTAAGTTCTTATATTCAATATTTCACTGTTTATATTTAACCATTCAAACAAACCATTCATAATTATTTATATGAATTTGCTATATTCATCAACATTTAAGTCCTTTTGAGGTAACATAACCCACAAAAATATTTTATTCCCCAATAGGAAAAATCCATGAATTTTGCCCTGGGTACACACTTTCTCTTATATATGTATACTGGTATCAGCAAGGTATCCGTCAAGAAGGCTTGAGAAGGTTCAAGTCATTAGAATAATTTCTTCTAGTGAGTTTGACGCTCATTGTAAGTCCCTTTTAAAAAAATTTAACATCATGCCGCTGCCTTGTTCTTATATATTGGAGTGCCTCCTTTATGTTGGAAGTAAAATTTTTGGCGAGTGAGGTAACCTCAAACTGCCATGTACATAGGTACAGTACCAGAGGTGGTAGTGATCTGCGTCTTCCACTCTTCAGACCAACCAAATCTCATAATTCTTATTTGTATTTAGGTTTTAAAATGTTTAACACCCTTCCACAAAAACATAAAAATTTCATTACTTTAAAAGCATTTAAAAATCAAATGCGCAAATATTTAGTTTATCATTGTTTCTATTCTGTGGAAGAATTTTTGCTTCATGGAAGTGCATGTGTGTGTGAGTAATGATTTTGTATTTATTTTTTCTTCATATATATATATTTTGTTTTTTCATAGCATTTGTTTTGTTTTGTATTTAATGACAAATGTAGACATGTTTTTATTGTATACACGAACATATATATCTATCTATCTATATGATCGTATGCTTTATTACAATTGCATAATAGTACCGTACGACTTAATCTTCATCTCATTAAATAGTTTGAAATTCGGTATTCCTTTTTTTATTTCAGCTGTTGTATTTACTCTCTATCTTAGGTTTCTGATTTTTTCGAAAAAAAGACAGTGGCGCCCTTATTGTATCCTTACTTTATTTAACAGCATCACAGTAATCAATCCATTCCCATATGCCGCCGACGAACAGCTGCCGGAGCTACTTTGCCATATTTTTTCTTTTGTAAAAAGACAAAACAGGAAAAAGGAATAACATATAACGTTTTTGCAGTCTTCGAAGTATGAAATGCAGTCCATGTAGTCGATGATAATAACAGATTAATATACCCTCAGGTCAAACAACCAGAAATTAAGAAATGAGTAACGCTAATATGTTTTGGAAAAAGAACAGAAATAATCGCAGGTTTCTTCAGAAAAAACAATGTGGAAATAGCATTCAGACCACATGCCAGGTTATCTCATTTCCTCTTCAATGCCAAAGATAAGGTCAACAAGTTGGAAAACTCTGGAGTTTATAAGCTGAAGTGTCTGGAGTGTAATAGTGATCAAGTAAAGTACCTCTATTTCTATTGGTACCTGCAGGGTTGGTATATAATAGCGAATGAAATGAATCTCTGTTAGTTTATTGCATAAGTTTGAAAATGTCCGTATAGGACGAAACTGCAGTAACGCTACTTACAAATAAAAGTGGTAAAAACATAGAAATTTTCATTTCTCTTTCCTTTATGATTTCCTACCACGTAGTAACTAATGGCTACATCCATCAATCTTTTGAGAACTTTTGAAATTGCAGCGACATGACATATTGGTGTCCACTTCAACCCCTAATGAAGTTATGGACGAAGAAATCGGAATTGTCTGTTCTGACATTATTATATCTGATTCGGAGACATTTATCTTTTTGAAGAAAATCGATGCCTAGGGTTTTGTAACATGGAGTTGAAGCTGGTGACTTCTACCCCAGTTTGAAATCACTTCTAGATCCTCATTGAGATATGCAATCTCCTGCGGTCGGTGAAGATGTGAATCCTTAGTCGATGTTCTGGAATCCTAATGGATTGACGCGACAAATGTGCTGAAACAAACATCTAGCCAGGGGAAATTTTGGAAATGGTCTTGAATATCCTCCCACTCAGCAAATGTAAATTTCCCATTGCGTTCATCCATTAAAAACGAACAAGCAAATCTTTCCTTCTTTGCAAGGTTACCTTTTCATTGATAGTTTAGGAAAGTTGAAACTCAAATAAGTCATTCTGCAACAAATACAACCATTCATTCCAATTTTCCGCTCCCATTCAACCACGAAGAATATCCTCTCGTCAGCCACTTGACTCATATCCCTCACAACCACTGAGCTGTAAAAGTTCCCGACTCATCCGTCGTTTAGTCATTCATCTAACCAAATACTTTTCAGCGAACGGGCATCTTTCACTCGAAGTGGCTCATCAAATTCAACGAAACCGAACCCTACATTTGCGTTTGTCCTCGATCCGCCCATTGACAAAGCAAAGCCAAAGTGTGCCGAGGAATCCTTTCCTTGTTTGAACACCGTCTCTTAGCCAAATAAGTGTCCTCTTACAAGATTATTCTTGGTTACCTGAAGGCGACATGGGCGTAGTTGGATGGTTTTTGTTTTCACCAACTGAGATGTGTATTGGGAATTTGCTGACTGGCTCAATGAGGTTTCTCGGGATTGTTGACAGTCATTCGTTTGGATAGGTGTTCTCAACGTTGCACTGACAGTGATTGTCAACTTCAAGTTTACTGAAATTGTTTCCTGCAAAGATATAAGTAAATAATAATTCGAAATGAGACAAAATGTCAATATTCAGATTGTTCTCTGCTATTTTTTCATTATTATCAACGTCTCACTCAAAATAACAACGTGCCACAACTTTGTTATAGAACAAATGAAGAAAATCGTTCTTTACTTCACCCAAAATCATGCTTTTCATTTTAAAGAATGAGGAAAAAGTGTCGTTCCTCTTTTAAATGTTGTTCACGCTACTATTAAAAAAATTCTCTTTGAACTTCTCGCGGAACTAAAATACACCACCGGCTATACTAAGTACGATGCTTTTCATAGCGGCAGAATGAGCCCACGCAAATGCACCGGCCTTCCATTGTGACGACACCTTATGTTCCCTCGATATCCGTGACGTCAGATGATACAGCCTCCCACATACCAAATTGTACGCTATTAGATCAATACCGTTATTCTCTCTCGTTTTATCTCTGTTCCGCATTCTAAACATTGCCGCTTCATTTTATGTGATTATAATATTTTTGTGTCTTGTGCCTTGTTGTGAGAACAAAATCATCATCATCAAAACCATCGGATTTAATGGAAAAAACAAAGGAAAAATTAATTGATTCCATTGCCACGACAATTTCAAAAATTGGCGAAGTCGCCATTTCTAGGAGTATATAAATTGGCGAAGGTTTCGGTATACTAATTGGCGAAGGTATCGGTGTTAAATTTTAAATAATTTTTCCCTGTGTTCAATACATTCACCAATTATAATAGATTCAGAGGAGATTATAATAGAAATGGAAGGAAACAGGTCAAAGGTGAAACTGAAGAATCCAAAATATATTTTGAATAACCAAGAAATCGCTGTGTTAATGGGAACAATTAGATCGAATGAGAA